TTCTTTATTAATAAAAACAAACAGGTACTTCAAGGCTTTCTTAATAGTCTATTGGCTCTCTCAATCTTGTTCACTGGGAACAGGCACTATCTTCTTAACTGTAATTTAACTAATGGGGAAATCCTTAACTTCTAATCTGGGCAGTCTGTCTTTGCCTCTGTTGGCGTGGAGCCCCTGCACCCGGTACCAACTGCGTCTGGCTTCCGCGAGTGACCCTTACCAAGCAGAGCTTTGTAGACTTCCAGGGAAAAAGGAGTTCAGGTTTCGGTGATGGCTGGCTGAAGTCCCTCAGCAAAGGAGCTGTAAGGCTGTATGATCCTCGGCCAAGCTGTGGGCTGTATAACCCCGGCCAAGCTGTAGAAGACGAAGCTTTCTATAGGAGCTCTTGGTATTATGTCCTGCATGGAAAGCTGCTCTGTGTGGACTGAACCAAACTGGCTCCTATTCCCTCCAAAACCCAAAAGGGGGCGGGACCAGGGAACCTAACTATAATTGACAGGTGGCTTGCCCTATGATTGCAGCCAAAAGAAGCCACCTATCTGCAGAGTCCCTGAAACTTAGGACTATAACAAACATTAAATGCAAAGCAAACAAAATAGGAGCTCCTGGTACAGCTGTACCAGCACAGAACCAAACATGGCACACAGAACTCCCATGGCCAACAGAAAATACTGGAAGAGTTTAGTGGGCATTGACTTTGAATTTTGGAGTTGTAGTTCACCTACATCCAGAGAGCACTGTGGATTCAAACAGTGATGGATTTGGACCAAACTTGGCACAAATACTCAATATGTGAACACTGGTGGAGTTTGGGGAAAATAGACCTTGACATTTGGGAGTTGTAGTTGCTGGATTTATAGTTCACCTACAATCAAAGAGCATTCTGAACCCCACCATGATAAAATTGGGCCAGACTTTCCACATAGAACCCCCATGACCAACAGAAAATACTGTGTTTTCTGATGGTCTTTGGCAACCCCTCTGACACCTTCCTTGCGACCCCTCCAGGGGTCCCGACCCCCAGGCTGAAAAATGCTGAATTAGACTATATTAATCATAAACCATAACACAACGTACTACTAGCAGAAAATCCGTAAAGACTTTGAATAACTATTCAGAAAAGTTAAGAAACAACAAAAGTGTATTTATAACTGAACATTTGGGTAACAAAAATAACGAGCAGAGGAAATTTACAGTGTTTTAAAATTTGGGGAAGCATTACAGATCTTATAGAACCATTATAGGATCCTGAGATGGATTTCTTCCGTAATATGCAGGCCTACTGTGTACAGATTGGGATGAAATCATTATACCTGCCCTCACTGGCTTTAATAAATACCCGAATTATAACTTGGCCTTGGAATGAATTTGATATACCTATCAGACCTCCAAGATGCAGGCATTGCCCTGCTGGGTTGCCACAGCAGAGATGACTTTGCTTTATAATCTTCATTTATTTACAGAAATGAAGGATCAGTGTGCGGTTAATTGAGTCGATATCAACATATGGCAACTTTATGACTGAGGTACTGTTGTTTAACCTCATTGTTAAATGCCTCTATGGGTGCATATACACACTGTGGAATTAATGCAGTTTGACTCCACTTTAACTTCCATGACATGATACTATGGAGCCATGGGAGCTATAGTTTTACAAGCCTTCTTGGTCAGAGTTCTGGAGCTTCACCAAACTATAACTTCTAGTATTCCATAGCATTGAGCCACGACAGTTATTGTGGTGTCAACCCACATTAATTCTACAGTGTAGACACACTCCAGGATTTTTTTTATTCTCTACTAGGATTCCAAGATCTTTACTATAGGCATAAAAATACATACCAAACTAAAATCTAATATCAGGAATTTCTTTGGATCATCAAAACAGAATGGAGTTTAAAGGCATTCCAAATAAAAATAATTTTAGCAATTTAGTCTGAGAGGTGGATGATTTGATTGCTCCTGATATTAAACAACTGAAAATTAATTCTTGCTCTTCTACTCACAGAAAACCAGAGATCTGCCAGTAAAACTAGATCTGCCCCACTCTTGAATTACAGGCTTCATTACTTGATTAGAAAGTATACATTATGATAATTATGGGGCTTGTGAATTCAGGGCATGCTTGTTTATTTTCTGGAGCAATTTTGGATCTCATGCATTACAATAAAATGGACTAAATAGAAGGAACAGCTAAGAGGCAGTTCTGCTTCTAGTACTGACAGCTGTATTTTGGATTGCGGTATTACCTTGTAAGTCATTTTGGTTATTAAATTGTAAGTAATTTTACACCTGTTTCTAATCTGCCATGGAACTTTGCAGTGCTGAGTACATAACTTTGTCTGTGTGTGTACATATATATGTGATAATGATTAATGCCAATATGTTATGCTACTGGAAAACAGATTAATCACTGGTGTTTAGGATTTAGGTAATTCCTCACCCAACCAAACCATGTAATGACGGTAAATCATCTCACTGTATGACTGGATGAGATGAAAGGGTTTGAGTGGGAAGGGGAATAACAGGATTAAGGAGGTGGAAATATTCCGTGTTAGTAGGAAAATGATACACAACAACAACCTGCTGAAATGGATACAAATTGAAAGGCCGTTCAAGAATACTTTGAAATGGGACAGTATGTTCCCCAGCTAGTTGCTCAGTGTTGTTGTGATCATATGTTACCTTACAAAATTGATTATTTTGGTGTGAGTTTCAATTCATGTCTCAGACTGTGATCCACAGAAATGGCCATCTTTCAGGAGTGTTTTTGTTGTATATTCCAGGATGTTGGACCAGATGGCCCTTGCAATTTCCTCCAACTCTTGTGATTCTTTGTAATATTGGGATTTGGGGGAATGTGTCATTCAGATCTTGGGATAATTAACATTTCATCATTAGGCATCAGAACTAGAACTGATGGGAGTGGTGATACAGTAACATCTGAAAGGTTGCAGTTTGTTCTGTTCAGTCAGGAGAGTGGGTTTGAGCTGGGATACAAGGCTTGTGGATATGATGTCTGACTTTAAAATGTCCTTTGAGCTTTCCCCATGAGTGTTTTCGGGTGGTTTTTGTTGTTGTTTATTTGTTCAGTTACTTCTAACTCTTTGTGAAGTCATGGATCAGCCCATGCCAGAGCTCCCTGTCAGCTGTGACCACCCCCAGCTCCTTCAAAGTCAAGCCAGTAATTTCAAGGATACCATCCATCCACCTTGCCCTTGGTCAGCCCCTCTTCCTTTTTCCTTCAATTTTCCCCAGCATCATTATCTTCTCCAAGCTTTCTTGTCTTCTCATGATGTGGCCAAAGTACTTCATCTTTGCCTCTCATATCCTTCCCTCCAGTGAGCAGCCGGGTATTATTTCCTGGAGTATAGACTGGTTTGATCTTCTCGTGGTCCAAGGCACTCTCAGAATTTTCCTCTAACACCACAGTTTGAAAGCATCTATCCTCCTTTGCTCAGACTTATTTATGTCCAGCTCTCACATCCATTGGTTACTATGGGGAATACCATTGCTTTAACTGTTCAGAACTTCGTTGCCAGCATTATGTCTCTACTCTTAACTATTTTATCAAGATTGGTCATTGCTCTCCTCCCAAGAAGGAAACGTCTCCTGATTACCTGGCCGCAGTCTGTGTCTGCAGTCATCTTTGCACCTAGAAATACAAAGTCTGTCACTACCTCCATGTTTTCTTCCTCTATTTGCCAGTTATCAATCAGTCTGGTTGCCATCATCTTGGTTTTCTATGTTTAACTGCAACCCAGTTTTTGCACTTTCTTCTTTCACCTTAGTTATAAGGCTCCTCGGCTCCTCCTCGCTTTCAGCCATCAAAGTGGTATCATCTGCATATCTAATATTGTTAGTGTTTCTTTCATCAATTTTAACTCCAGCCTTGGATTCATCAAGCCCCGCACGTTGCATGATGTGTTCTGCATACAAGTTGAATAGGTAGGGTGACAGTATACAACCCTGCCGTACTCCTTTCCCAATTTTGAACCAGTCTATTGTTCCGTGGTCTGTTCTTACTGTTGCTACTTGGTCGTTAGGCAGATTCCTCAGGAGACAGGCAAGGTGGCTGGGTATCTCCATACCATCAAGAACTTGCCAGAATGGGAGTTGTTGTTCAGTAACATATGGAGACCCAAATTAAAGAGCACAGATAAAAAATTCTCCATCCATGCATTCAAGGGCCCTTTAAAGGCAACCATAAGTCTGAAGTAGCCCTCAATCAAAATGAGCTTGACATTCCTGCTCTAGCATCTGGCATGCACGAAACTCAGTCCTAATAACTTCCCTTATGCCCTGGAATGGGCAAATATGACACTTTAGATCAGGGGTCCTCAAACTTTTTAAACAGAGGGCCGGGTCACAGTCCCTCAAACTGTTGAAGGACCGGATTATAATTCGAAACAAAATCATGAATGAATTCCTATGCACACTGCACATATCTCATTTGTAGTAAAATAAAGAACAATTTTAACAAATATAAATTTATTAGTATTTCAATGGGAAGTGTGGGCCTGCTTTTGGCTGATGAGATAGGGTTGTTGTTGTTGTTGTGTGCTTTCAAGTCATTTCAGACTTAGGTTGACCTGAGCGAGGGCTGGGTAAATGACCTTGGAGGGCCGTATCTGGCCCCCGGGCCTTATTTTAAGGACCCCTGCTTTAGATATTCTGGGACCACAGCTCCCAACAACCTTCAGCATTGCTTACACCATCTAGTACTGATGGGAGAGTCAGTTCAAAATCATCAGGAGGGATTAACATTTCCCACCCTATATACATTACCAAGGCAATTATAAAATGAATTTGCCAAAGCTTTATTCAACATTGGTCTCTAAGTTCCAACCTCATTAAATTTCCACAGACCTATATGCTACTGTAACACCACACCTTGTTTTGTGGGGAGGGGAGTGGGGGATCCATACTGGGAATATGTGCAGCATAGGATTGTAGGTTGATAATTTCATTTCAATTATTTCCTTAAGATTTTGAAGTTGATAGATTTCTTTCTTCAGAATTCTTTATTTAAGTTCTACAAGTTTTAAGCACAGATTGGAAAAAAACTCGACATGTGACCTTTGTGGAAATCTTTCCTTCCATCAATCACGAAGCACCATCAGGCTTTATCGGCCACTGGACCGTTTTAAATGCCACGAGTATAAATACCTATTACACAGATTTAACTGACTCTAAGACTGTGAGCTACTGATGAGGTGCCTCCGTAGAGGATGGAGGTCTTTCATTCTCATGTAAGGTCTTGACAAGACATCTGCGATCTTCTGCTGGAAAAGCCTTTCTACTTCCTGTGCCGTGGCATATTCTCTCTGCTGCTCCTCCTTTTCAGAAGCATGGGCCCGATTGATGTAGTCCATCTGAGCTTGGAGTTCTTCCCGATATTTCTTTGCTTGCTGAACACCCCTGTAGGTAACATAATAAAATGTGATATGTATCTAATGACAAGAAAACATCTAGTATAAAGGTGTCAAACTCATTTCCATTGAGGGCCACATCAACCTTATGGTTGCCTTCAAAGGGCTGTTGAATCATGGATGGAGAATCCGTGGATAAGAGAAGGCCAACAATACTTTTGTTTACATAATAGACTCTGCTTTCTACCTTTTACCCAATCTGGGTCCCCAGATGTTATTAAATGAACTCTCATCACTTGATTATGAGGATAATGAGAAATGCAACCCAACAGCACTTGCGGCTCTGAGGTTGGGGAAAGGATAAAGGACATTTTAAAGCCACACATCATTTGCACTAACCTTGTATCTAAATTCAAACCCCACCCTCCTGACTAAATAAAATAAACTGCAGCCTTCCAGATGTTCCTGTTTTACAACTCCCATCAGCTCTGGTCACAATATTTAATGATCAGGGCTACAGGGGTTGTAATCTAGCATCTGAAAGGCGACATAAAATGAAATTGTGGGCCAGATTTGGACCATGAGCCTTTAATTTGACACATCTATAACACACTCTAGGGCTTGGTCTGAAGGTACGAAATGAAGGATTTCTAGTTTAAGAACTAAAACCGGCTAATATCTGGATGTAGGATTGCCAAATAACCTGCTTCACACAGGATGTCCCATATTTATGAGCAGAAAAAGCTGAACCATAAGCTTATTATATGGGTTGCCCCAAACCCCATATTCCACTTGATTGGAATGAGCAAGTGAAAAGCTCCCTCTAGGCAAGGAAGGGTAGGAATACAATGAAATCAATAGACCCAAGGTCAGCATCAGAGCCCTGCATCCCTAAGTAGGTGACACCTCTCTAGATATAGGTTTCCCCTTGACATTAAGTCTAGTCGTGTCTGACTCTGGGAGGTGGTGCTCATCTCCATTTCTAAGTCAAAGAGCCAGCATTGTCCATAGACGCCTCGAAGGTTATGTGGCCAGCATATCTGCATGGAGCGCCATTACCTTCCCACTAAAGCGATACCTATTGATCTACTCACATTTGCATGTTTTCGAACTGCTAGGTTGGCGGAAGCTGGACCTAACAGCAGGAGCTCACACCACTCCCTGGATTCAAATCACCAACCTTTCAATCAGCAAGTTCAGCAGCTCAGCGGTTTAACCCGCTGCACCACTGAGTGCTCTGACACCTCTCTAGGAACCTCTAGTTTCTCCACTAGAAACCACTGGAAGTTGCCAATAGAGTCATGCTGAAGAAACTACTTATTCCTAGCTAAGTGCTCTATCAAGTTTAAAAATATATAGCAATTGTATTATTTTCATAGAATCGCAGATTTGGAAAAGACCTCACAGGCCATCAAGTCTGACCCCATGCCATGCAGGAAAAGTAATATCAAAGCACACCTGACAGATGGCCATCCAGCCTCTGTTTCAAAGCCTCCAAAGAAGGAGCTTCCATCAAACTCTGAGGAAGAGTTTTAGACAGCTCTTGTGATCATAAAATCAGAGTTGGAAGAGACCTCATGGGCCATCCTGTTCAACCCCCTGCCAAGAAACAGGAATATTGCATTCAAAGCACCCCTGACAGATGGCCATCCAGCCTCTGTTTAAAAGCTTCCAAAGAAGGAGCCTCCACCACACTCCAGGGCAGAGAGTTCCACTGCTGAACGGCTCTCACATTCATGAACAGCTCTCACAGTCAAGTTCTTCCTAATGATCAGGAAGTTCTTCCTAATGTTGAGCTGCAAACTCATTTCCTGTAATTTGAACTGACTGCTCCAAGTCTTAGTTGCCAGGGCAGCAGAAAAAAGCCAGCTCCCTCTTTTCCTTATGACATTTAGTTTTTCATTTTTGCAGCAGTCCTGTGCCCCTAACCCCAGCAAATGTGGAAGGCTTGATTGTATCATGAATACAACTATATTGAACACATCAACAGACTGCTCAAACAGTTAAAACTTCACTAAGTGTGATCCAGATTGAAGACTGAAAAAGTCTGTCTAAAATATATGTCCATGCCAGCAGAAGACCACAGTGAAACACTCTGCCAAACTAATTCCCCCTTTGCTCTGTTTAGGGTTACCCAATTGTAAAGTGGAAAGAGATCCTGTAGCTTTAAGGGCTGTGTAGGAAAAGATATTTCAGCAGGTGTTCTTTGCCACAAAACCAGGCAATAAACAACACCTGCTGAAACTCCTTTTCAAACAACCACTGAAGGTACAGGAGCCCTCCCTGGTTCTCAGTCTGGAAGCCCTAAGGATAATAGAGGGGAGCAGCTTATCAGGATTTTTGACAGCATGGAAGTAGCCTCTAATGGTGGCAGAGTAAAGAGAAGGACCTCTACTCAAGTTTTGGAAACCCAGGAAACTTACAAAGTAGAAGATAGTCCTGAAGATATCCTGGTTTCAAGCTATATGTAAGGTTTTTAACTGACATTGCCAATTGTATCACAAAATAAACTTGTAGTCAATGAAACCCGTGCAACATGGAGTCATATATTTATGATGCGTAGAGTTGTCAGGTGAAGCAATAGGGTGCATGTCCTATAAAGGTTGTCACCTGCTGTAATTCCCTCTTTTGCACAGCTGTTATAGGGACATGAGCGCTGCCCATGAATTCACTGGCAATTTTACCCACATCCAACTTCAATAAACAAAGCTCAGCACCAGATTCTGATATTTCTATACACTTTTGAAAGGAAGCATACAATGGGCTTAGGAGAAATTACCTCAAATATCCTTCCTCTTCTTGACGTTTGTGTTCTTCAATGGCTGCATTTAATAACTCTCTGTCCCGGAAAAGTTCCTCTTGTTCATGGGCATTTCTTTGCACTGAAAGGATAAAAAAGAAGCAATTGCCTAATACTGCAAGCCAATTAAGTACACATCAAAAGGCTCATTAAAGCTTAGCAGAACACTCTGATGAACCCACCTGGACACAACATATTATTCGAGAACACAGAAATGCTGGACCATTCTAACAATCACCATTGTCAGACTATACGGAGAAGCCTTTGGAATCAACAAGCATGTGGACAATTTCAACAGAAAGGAGGAAATCAGGACAGTAAAGAAAGAACAACACTCAAAAACAGGGGAATTCCAGACAAGAAATCATCAGGGCCACATAATCACCTCTCAACAAAGGATTCCCCCAGGCAGGAAGCAGCCAAGCTTTGAAGATGCAAGGCTATTCAGTACTAATCAAGGTGATCAATTGCAACATTCACACAAGCCTCAAGCAGACAAGAGTTCTTTCTCCCACCCTGAACATTATTCCACAGATATATAAACCCCACTTGCCTAGTCTCAAACAAACCTCACAACCTCTGAAGATGCCTGCCATAGATGTGGGTGAAACATCAAGAGAGAATGCTTCTGAAATACGGCCATACAGTCTGGAAAACTCACAGCTATCCAGTGATTCCATCCATGAAAGCGTTTGACAACACATTGCTCATTTCAGCTGTTTGTTTTTTACACCATTGATTCTACATAATTTCTTTCCCTCCTCTTCCTCGAAAGGGTCCAAAGCAGCATGTGAAACGACATGATAATTGCTATATATATGCACAACACTGGAAGAAATCAGATCTCCCAGCAATTGAAGAATTTGTGTTGTTGAAGGTTTCAACAAGAACAACCTCTGAGGATGCCTGCCATAGATGTGGCTGAAACGACAGGAGAGAATCCTTCTGGAATATGGTAATACAGCCTGGGAAACTCACAGTACCCCATGGAAATCCCATGGAAGAATTGATACTAAAAGTTTATGGAATGGCAGGAATTGATATATTGGCTATGATGAACAAAGACAAAACTAAAAAAAAAACACAATATCAGACTAGGAATCACTCTTAAATTTGTAAAAAAAAAAAAGGAAATGGGAAAAATTATATAACAGGCTTTGTAATTTAATCTGTTAGAATTTCTGCATGGAATTTTTAAATAGTAACTATTATGCTAGAAAGAAGAATAGAAAAATATTTTACTAGGAAGGAAGAACATAACTACATGGCTACCTTCAGCCCAAAGACGAGATGTCACTACAACAGGATGGGTGGGAGGAAGGAATGGCATAGTTAGGAACAATTATTGTACAGATGTTAGGAAATATTGCTCAAAATGCATTTGTTTGTGTAGAGATTTGTATTGTTCTTTTAAATAAATATACAATTAAAAAAAAGCGGCATGTGAAAACACATCCTCGTTTTTAACCTCACAACACTCCTGTGAGGTAGAACAGGCTGAGAGGTCATTAAACAAGCTTTGTGGCTGAGGATTTTAATCCTGCAGATGGCCTTGTGTAGAGTTCTGTTAGGGCGTGTAAACAAAATACTTAGTGAGTGTGTTAACTGAAAATGCAAAGCACAAAGCTGATTGGTAGGGCCATGTCTAAGAAGCTAGATGAGCCTGGGAGTTTTGGCAACAGTTACATATTTAGGCCTTAGCTGTGCAAGAGCTTGCAGGCTGAGAGAGACAGTTCTTGCTTCATGAGCTTCTAGAAAAAGATCTCCCACGTGGATACCTAAATACCATTTGAATCTCTCTCAAAAAGGACATTGTGTGAGTCAATGCCATTGTTCTCATGACTGTATATATGTTGCTCTGCATTACATAGAGTAAACTTCTTGTTCTTTACTGATCATCTGCGTGGTATATTTTCTTTCTCTGGCAAGAGAGTGTGTGGACTGGTAAAACGTGAACTACGCATGACTCATCCTGCCACAAGTTCTGTCACAACCCAACAATGGGCTGAAATAGAGAGCTATACATCACCCTTTGAATGTGTTGTATTACAACATATACCATGCTGATTGTGGGATAATCAGAGACATCAGCATGGGAAATGTCACCACAAGAGCCTTACATTTCTCCTCAATTTGAAGCCGCCTTGTCTCCATGACCTCTCTCAGCAAACCATCCCTGGCGTCTTTCAGGGCCTTCGCCTTTTCAGCCCTCTTTGCCCACATCTTGGCAGAGTCTTCGGCTCGCAGTTTGTCCATTTCTTTCTCCCGCTGCTTCTCCTCCTCTCTCTGTTGAGCCAGGTATGCCTGATAGGTCGTCTGCTCTTTCAAGAGCTCTCTCTATGAAATGTCAGACAAAAAACGAAGAAAAAAGGCATTTAAAGCACATGGCATCTGAAGTTACGAATAACTGACACATTTCTATTGATAAATTCTGAAATTCACAAAGCTCTGCTCACGTTCTTATCCTTTGCCACTTGAGATACAGTGAAGACATCTGCCCTTGTGCTTTGCTATTCTTCTGCTGAATAGGCATGCCCAGTGTGGAACACATCTCACCACGCTAAAACAGTCGATGGGGCTCTTAATGAGACATGCTGCATTATCACGGGGTGTCTGCGCCCTACACCACTGGAGAAATTACACTGTTTAGCTGGTATTGCACCACCTGACATCCACCGGGAAGTAGCAGCCAATAGTAAAGGACCAAGGCAGTGACATCTCCAGCTCATCCCCTATTTGGATATCAGCCAGCACGTCAATATTTAAATCAAGAAATAGTTTTCTAAGATCTACAGAGACACTCACTGGAACACCTCAGCAAGTGAGAGTCCAAAAGGGACAGGCTAAAACCCAGAACCACAATCTATGCCTGATACCAGATGAGAAACTCCCCCTGCATACATAAAAGGCTGGGCAACTTGGAAGGCGCTGAACAGACTGTGCTATGGCACCACGAGATGCAGAGCCAACCTAAGAAATGGGGCTACAAAGTGGGATCTGCAACATGTGAGTGTGGAGATGAGCAAACCGCCTACCAGAATGCAGTCTGAGCCCTGCCACATGCATAATGAAAGTCCTTCTCACAGCGATACCAGAGGCACTCCAAGTGGCCAGCTTCTGGTCAAAGAAAATCTAGTATAATGCCAAGTTTTTAACTTTGTGCTTTTAAATACATTGTAACTGTATCAATTCGCTTCTGACACTATGAATAAATAAATAAATAAATCAGCATCTCATTCCTTTTGTGCCAACCTTTTGAGCCAATATAACTGTATTATCAGCTGAATCACATTAATTGTTTATTTATTTTTCTGTGGAATATTCAAATTGTTTGAGTTGATCAGGGAAGGGGGGAAGTAGATAGGCTGATCCACCGGCTCCCTCCTTCTTGCCAGGATTTGACTGGATTGATTTCTGATCACTTTGGGACTGATATTCTTATACTGATGGGAGCATTTAAAAAAATTAGCAGGAAGAAAAATATATTAAACCTAAAGTGAGAAACACAATTTCTTGAAAAACGCCACATGCAGAGCCAGTAAATAGGGAATGTCAGACAAAAGAGCCATCTATATAAATAAAAATGTAATGTTCGTTTGTGGGATTAACATAACTCAAAAACCCCTGGACGAACTGACAAGAAATTTGGACACAATACACCTATCAGGTCAACGAGTGACCATCACTCATAAAAACACTGGAAAACACAGCTGAAGGGACTTTAAAAGCCAAAATATACATTACAATGAATGCGCAAAACCACATATATACACAAACACACATATATAGATATATACACAAATATATACACACATACACACACAAAACACTGAGCCACAGCAACATGTGGCAGGGGACAGCTAGTGTGTCAATAATCTAATGCCTTTAAACTAGAAATGGAATTTGGCGGGTCTCTAGATGTGCTTCTAATGTAAGTGAACCAGTGTGGTGGATTAGCTTGAATGCTGTATCACAAACTCCAGATCAACTAGTGAAACTGATTAATGATAGTTTCAGGAGAGAAATACTTCTTGATACGATGCACAATCACCTTTTTGAATTCACTGCCATGACATGTTGACTAGTAATGGCTTTTAAATGGCTTTGGAGAAGTCAACAGAGAACATGTTTTCAACTGCCACTAGTCCCAGTAGGCATAGGAAACTTCTACAAAGAGACACAATATGCTGCACTTGGAAGTAAAGGAAGATGCTATCATTGCTCAAATAACAAGATGATATCATCATCATCTTTATGTTTTTCCCACCTTTCTCCACACAACACAACTAAATTTAAAAACAAAAATTAAAAACAGTTCAATATTTGTGTCATAAATACAAAGATAAGATGCAATAAAAATACAATTTTTATTTAAAAACTAAATATCTCCCCAAAATCCCACCCATACATCCCCAGCAGCTGGCCCCTCATCATCCCACAAATGCCTAGAGGCGGAGATATATCTTCACCTGCCTGCAAAAAACATCCTGGTTCCTCTTGGGAGGAAATTCCTAAGTCTGGAAGCAGCCACCAAAAAAGCAACTGCAACAGCCTCCAACTTTGGTGCCTGAAAGAAGAGGAATCACCTGGTTCCTTGTTTAAGGCAACAAAATATCTTGAGCTGGTTCTGGCAGGCTTCAAGATAGCACAACCACTGAGAAACTCCTTGTGACTGAAAGGGGTGGAAGAGGTGCTATGCAGGTAGCGATAATAATAATAATAATAATAATAATAATAATAATAATAATAATTGCATTTATACCTGCCCCCAAAATACTCAAGGCGGCTTGCGACATAAAGATGATAAATAATATATGTAAGTAAAAATAAGTCAGATAATATGACAAACCAATATAAAGACAAAATAATACCAAAAAATGGACTGTCTTGAAAATCCCCTTCTTTACATGACACTTTTCATACCCTAAGCTTTAATCATTGAGATGAGTTGTTAATTAGGCTTTTCTTTTTAGTCAAGCTGTGAACTTCCAAGCATGTTGGCCTTGTTTTATTCTCCCTGTTGCGAAGATAATGTTGCTGATTCAGATTTTGCTATTGGGTTGGATATTAAATCTTTTTTCTTATCTTTTTTTGCTTATTTCTGAAAAACTGTTCTGATTTCAGAACTTATGCAAGTCAGGGAAAAAGGATGATTTTTAAAAAATCTTCACATACAATATGACCTCCCTTACCTACAGGACCCATTACAGTGGTTTCACCTACCTGCATCCAACAAAATATGTCATCTCTAGAAATTTTCTAGGTCCTTCAGATGATTCTATGTATGTTTCTGCCAGAAGTTACCACAAAGTAATGTAAAATCAAGCCATTCTGCTAGTTGCAGCTACCTGACTGTGTAACAGTGGAGTTACTATATATTTTGCTATTTCCTTTTCTATGATCTGAAGCTATCACTATTAAACGATGACACACATCATTCAGGAGCTACTGCAGGAAGTCTACAATCGCAGTTAAAGGTTGCTCTTACTTTCCTTTGCCTTTGGCTCTCAGTGTCCTCCAAGGATTCTTGAAGGACATGGTCCAAGATCTTCATATCTAATGCCAACTCCTCTTCCTTTTCTTCATTGAGACGCTTCCTCTTCTCCTTCATGGAATCCAGCAACATGTCGCCACACTCTCTGAGTTTCCTCCTTCTTTCTATCTCAGCACGTTCATTCTCCAGTTTCATCAGCTGCCGGTCTTCTTCCTACAATGGCAAGAGGAATTATTAATTCATAGTGTTTGCCTTATACTTTCAAAGGGACAGCAGGGTGGATTTAATTTACTGAAACAGTAAGGTTAAAAAAGGTTACTGTTTTGTACAGGGTGAAGATTTCCCAGATCAGGGTAATAAGTTTACGTTTTGACATTTTGTGACCAAGAAAGCAGTTTCCTTTCACCTAAAATCATGAAAACCCTTCCTCCCATTTCTCTTTCTGGGGCATGAGGCACCATCACAATTTTGAGCAGGATATTGAGTTATAATTTCCCACATTCCATTCATCTTCCTGTGCCATAATTCCCTGGTCAAAGTTTGCTCATGCTTCTGCAATTTGAGCTGTTCCAGAAAAGAATTTCAATTAATTTCAGATTGGCTTTCTTAACCTTGTTATGGGGTGTAGAGGCTGGAGGGGCAGGGGAGATGCATGGATTAATTTATTGCTCAAACCATGTAGGGACTAGCTTTAAGCAGGCACCCTGTTCTACATTTCTGCTTTCTTATGTTTTGTGTCATATGTTTGAGTCTGTTTTCAGGCAAAGACTTGAACTGGATAGTTGTGTAGTGACTTCCAATGAAACCCTGATGTACTGAACCACAAATTATACTATTAGTGGTTACCCAAAATATATTAGGTGAAAAGGCTTTCCAGCAGGTTAAAAAAATGAAGTAATGTCTACTCTCCAATATGCAAAGTAATCAACAACTGTAATACTGGCTGTTACCATCAGTTTAGCCTCTTCTTCCTTCAGCCGCCTGTCCTCCTGCTTCTGAGCTTCTGCTATCGCCCGCTGAGTGTTAAGCATGTTAAGCATGTCGTCATTACGACCAGATCTCTTCTGGGCATCCTCCATTGCCCGCTTCTCCTTCGCCAGCCTGTCCGCTTCCCAGAGAGCTGCAAAGTTGGCCTCCTCCTGTGCTTTCTGCTTCTTCAGTTCCTCCTTCAGGGCCAGCTGAGCCAGGCGGTCTTCACACACCTCCAACAAGTGCTTCTGGCTCCACTGTGTCCGCAGCTCCTCACAAGTTTCTCTGAGCCACAGGTAATGAGAAAAGTAAATAAACTCCTTTAGATCCATATATATTGGAATTTAACATACATGATGGCAATAGACGTATAGACAGAACCTAGAACATAGCCATTCTATAGATGAATAGTTGTGTAACAGAAAAAAATGGTATGACAACCAGGTGCTGACACCATCGTAGTCAGCCCACTGAATGATATGTCTCTTTTCCTCCATACTATAAAATGAGATAGGAAATCTCAGATCCAGAATGCAAAAGTGAACCACAAGCAAATATCATGAAAAACTTTTAAAAACTGCAACTGACAGGTGAGGTTGGTGGGGACGAGAGAGAGGGCCTTCTCAGTAATGGCTACCTGGCTCTGGAATGCCCTCCTTAGAGAGGTTAGAGTAGCCCTAAATCTCCAAACCTTCCGTTCGAGCCTAAAAACATGGTTATTTACACAGGCTTTTGACCTGGAGTAATGTACTATAGTCATGTGATGACGTCGACCATTGTTATTCGGCACTTTAGTTGATGTTTGAAGAAACCCAATGACCCACAAGTATGACTGAGTTTTAGAATTTTAAAAAATTAAAATTTTATTGATTGACGTCCATTGTTTGTATTTAGTTAAATTGTATATTGCTTTGATGATATGTAATTCTATTTTATGTGTGGCACCTTTAGTGCATTGCTAGCTTTCCCCTGTCCCTTCAGAGAGATGGTGGCAGGGTACAAAAAAAGTTTTTTTTAATTATTATTCATTATTATTATTCTGATTAACTGGAATTAAGTCCCATTATGGGGACTAAATACTCCCAAGGTACCAGGTCCTATCTGACCTTGGAAACTAAGCAAGGTCTGCACAAGTTAATATGGGAATGGGAGGCCATCAGTGAATTTGTGTAGGCTACATTACAGGCAAAGGAACTGGAAAATTCACTTTGTGAGGCTAGGCTAGACTCATCTCTCCTCTCTGGGGCCAGGACCAGGCTGCTTCCCTGCCTCCCAAGTCTTTTCCTTGTCTTCACCTGCACTATAATGTCCCTCAAATAGGAGCTGGAGGCACTCCTGAAACAGCTTCCCTTTTACTTTGGCTCAGTACTAAGTATTATGCGAATCTAATGCGTACCCTAATTTTAGCAAGGTCATTTAGTTGAAATAGGTGTATGTTAAGACTCAGATAAATATAATACCTTCTCAACAGATTGCAGGCCATCTTTTCCCTATTTATTGTTATAATCAACAACAAAAAGCAACCAGAATTCAAAATCAGAAAACTTTTGTGTTTGGGATTTGTATTACTGGCATTCTGAGTTTCCTGGTGAGGTCTCTCAAGGATTTCAGGAGAGAAATTGGCTTCTAATTCAAGTTGCTCTGGTCTACCTTTTCCCTTGTCCCCATCCCACGGCACATAGTTTGCTCCCTAGACCCAGCCAATCCTCCATTCGATTTCTGCCTAGTAAGCATACTCTGTGTTTGTTTCTCTTCTGCTATTTTTCAGGGCAGACAGGATTTGGGGGAGGCAAAGAGCAAGATGGCTATTCTCCCTTCTCCTCTCTCTTCCTAATTGAACTTTTTGCATGTACCACCTCTTGAGCTTGGACATCTTGGCTTGAAGATTTCGGGAGATGTTAAAAAACTAACTTTGCAAGCACTGAACTATGTTTCAACGATATTCTGGAAAATCAAAGAGTAGATCAGCGAACTCAGCTGGAAAAAATTTGGAGAACAATTTTATAAATCTGTGCACTGCTGCTTTTTAGCCTCGGCGGCTACTGAAGCAAGGGAATGCTGTTAATGATCTGTTCTCAGTTTAGATTTAATTTGCAGGTGCCAGAGTTTAATTGACTCAGCAAATAAAATTGAGAGCTTCACTGGTGATCAGTAGGATACATTTTTAACGAAAACATAAGAAAGCAATATAAAAGTATACAGATTTAGCATAAAAAGTTGTTATACTGCACAAAAAGAAATGGACACTGCAAACTGGGAGTGCATTCAATTTTCGGTTCTACTTGGATGCGACATAAAATGAATGGCTGTAACGCAAGGGCAATTATTGAACAAGTAGAAAAAGATATGATTAATAGCACATGCAATTTGGCCTGGAAGATGAGACAACTTTCTATATGCATCTGGTATTTCTAGTACAGTTGGCCCTCCACATTTGTAGGCATGATATTTGTGGACAGTAAATAAAGAGCAACACTCAAAAACTGGAGAATTCCAGACAGGAAACAATCAGGGCCAGCTAATCACCTCCCAACAAAGGATTACCCCAGGCAGGAAGCAGCCATGCTTTGAAGCTACAAGGCTATTCAATGCTAATCCAGGTGATCAATTGCAACATTCAGACTTGCCTCAAACAGAGAATTCTTTCTCCCACCCTGGACAGATAGATAAACCTCACTTGCCTAGTTTCCAATAAACCTCATAACTTCTGAGGATGCTTGCCATAGATGTGGGTGAAACATCAGGGGAGAATGCTTCTGGAACATAGTCATACAGCCCGGAAAACTTACAACAACCCAATGATTTCAGCCATGAAAGCCTTCGACAAAACATCAATTTAAATGTTCTCTCAAGTTCCTCCACAGTGATACTATGGTCAACTTCCAGTGGAAATTGATCACAATAGAGGACCTAGAGATTCTTAGAGATATTTTTCGTGAGGTAAAAAAATAGCATTTTCTTTAATTTTCACTTTTGCGGGGATCCTGTGCCCCTAATCCCAGCAATGAGTTTGGATGACTCTACAGCAAGATTGATCTTTAATAATTTTTGGGTTTGTTTAGTACAACTTGGATTGGGAAATTCTTAAGTTTTCTCTCATATTTGCACAGGTATTACCAAATTATAGCCAGCGTTTCTGCATTTTGAAGACATTAGAGATTGTGACATTCCAAGAAAGTAGCAAAATCCCATTAACGGAAAGGAGATTAAAAGTAGAATCTAATGCCAGTTGACTCAGAATTAAGAACCACTGTGCTGAGTGGAAAATACGCAAAAGATTGCATAAAACATTATCCAGCTCCATATATATATACAGACATACATACCAATGTTAACATGTAAACATATATTGGCCTGTAAAAAAATCTGTAAAATTCAGAGTTGTGCATTATCCCCATTAGAACCAACCTAAATGTCATGACACAGTGAGAAAATATTCAAATTTTCCAGAACTCTTCTTCATGCAATGTAAATGATATCATGCAACTTTGATTTTAAAAGATCTGGAGAACTTAAAAGCTTACTGTATGGTGACATCTTAGTTGGTTATGATAAAGGTATGGTCCATGTAACAAGAGGTATTATATTCCTGTGTTTTAGACATATAATAGTCATCTAAAAAGAGAAGTAAGAGTTAAGCCAAAATTTAGCTAAAGCAGCAATTTTCATATGCAAAACAAACTTTACAATTGCATCTTCATTCTGTCAAAATAAATTCTCCAAAACAACTTTTACAACCACTAATAAACATCTGCTCCCCCAGATGGTTGTTGGACTTTGTCACTTTGCTTTCCTAAGCACATTTGCGACACAGCAAGCAACAATTTTAATGTTGTTTCCAAAGGTTAATGCCAAATATGTGCCCCTCACCAACATTTATCCATTTTTACAAACCACAGCAGAATCATTAAGATTCCCATCTCCTCTGCAAGAAGCGACAAATGTTATACTAAAAAGAGAGAATTATATGCTGTTATCCCAGTTTTGGGGAAAATATAACTTTCATTAATACAGACATATAAACAAGAAATGCTACCAATGGGTAGAATGGAGCAAATAAAACAACATGTTCATGGGATATATTTGAGATAACAGCAAAGCCATTTATCCAGTCACCCTTCCAAAGCAATTTTTTTTTCAGAATACCAGAAATTTGAAATTCCAGCTCTGGATACAATAAATCTGCTTAGGTCCAAAAAAGAAAAATAAGCACTGTGCAGAACAACTGGGATGAGGAATCTTTTTATTTCCAGATACTTGGGACACAACCCAATCCTTAAACTCCTTATCATTTCCAATGCCATGCAAAGTTGACGTTTCAGTCACCTGAAGGACCAAAGATCACCTTTATCGGCCCACCACCCCTGCGGAGGTTGGAAGCTATGGAAAGTCTAAAGCTGATCAGGTAGTGGTCAGTCCATGACAATGGGAGAATGTCCACAATATAAACCAGGTCCAGAGTGTGTCCCGCCTGATGAGTGGGCCCAGTTATAACTTGGGACAGTCCCATGGTCATCATGACAACCATGAAGTCCAGAGCCGCACCAGATAAAGTGGTCTCCCCATGGATGTTGAAATCACCCAGAACCACCAGGCACTGGGAATTCAGAATCAGGCTGGAGATCACTTCAGCCAGCTCAGGTAGGGAGACTGTGTTGCGCGGTGGACAATACACAAGCAGAATCCCAAAACTGTCGCGGTTACCCACCTTCAAGTGGACACACTCAAACCCAGTAAACTGTGGCAGAAGGCACCTGATAGCCCTTCTCTATTCTGATGTAGTTTATATATAGTATGAGCTCACTAAAAACATTGGCTGGTAGATAGGATATGGACATTCCAAATACAGTATATTCTGGCGTATAAGACTACTTTTTAACCCAAGAAAATCTTCTCAAAAGTCAGGGGTCGTCTTATACGCGAGTGTAGTCTTATGCATGGGAGTCGTCTTAACTCTATATTTTAACTGGAAAAGTTGGGGGTCGTCTTATACGCCCAGTCGTCTTATATGCCGGAATATACGGTAACTGTACTAAAATGTAAGATAAAAATAAAAAGGGATCAAGTTAAAGTTTTAATTTTGGACTCGGATATAATTTTTGGACTCATTTCAAGGGAATCATGGTTTAAACTCCTTTATTTTAGAAGCAAAGCTGTGATGCCAAAAAAGTGGGACCTACTTAATGAATGCCAGTGATTCCCAAACTCTAGTCCTCTGGGTGTTTTGCACTTCAACTCCCAGAAACCTCTGCAGACAGAAGTCCAAAAACCCATTACCATTACCATTTTGAGAGGGGAATGGAGATATTTGGGGCCAATATAATTTCTTAGCTGTGTATCTTTACATATTTACATTACCCCCAAATCATGCCTTTTGTAAAATCAAGGGCTGTGAAGCTTCTGCAGCCAAGAAGTGGGTTCTGAAAATCACCTGAGACCCATAGCCCACATGATAGCTTTCCCCAGTTATTCTCTGCCTTTTTCCCAACACTGGGTCTCTCAGTCATCTTTCTGGACATTGGGAATTCTGTTGTTTACAGCTGGACCCCTTAAGCAATATTTCAAAAGCAAGGAGTATGCTTTTCAGCCAAAAGGAATTGGGGCATGCTGGAGACGTTAGGAGGTTGTTGGAACTCCCAAGGACTAGACTGGATTTCTCCTCTAAGTACCACAAGCAACCCACAGACCAGACAACTTTTGCACAAGCAACTATGCAATCACAGTAAGTGATAAAGAGCTCTGTACACATACACTTGTGGTTTTCCTCTTCCTCTTCTATGAACTGGTGTGAAGAGTCCCTCCACGACTGCCACCTGGCCAGCTCAGCAAGTGTTGAGGAAACCAACTCCCTCCACACACGGCTCCTAGCAAGGCCCACCTATGCTTATGACCAACATACCTGAACTGCTGCTCCCTTTTTTCTGCCGCAACTTTCCTCCTGGCTTCCTCCCTCTTCTCTCTTAGCTCTTTTGCTCTTGTTCTCATATCCTTTTGTCGGTCCCCCATGGTTTCTTCTAGTGATTCCATTTCAGTGAAGTAACCTTTTTCCTCTGCTTCCAGGAGATTCAGTAGCCTGGGTAGAGTGTTAATTAAGAACTCAGTGACATTTGACACATTTCAATTTTTTTTAGAGAATTCTTCAAAATGCTGTGTGGGTGAACAGAAAAAAAAAAAGAATGCTCTACAAATCAGAAAAAAAATATGTCTTCTTTGGGAAAAGAGCCTGACAATGCAAAATACACCTGTAATGTTCACTGGCCAGTGACTGAACATCTAAGAGCTGTCTGAAAGTTGCATTATTTTGCTTTCCCAGAGCCTCTGGCATCTGACACTAGGAGCCAGAACTGCAGGAGTCAGCAGCAACAACCTGGATGCAGAAACTCTGCCCTGTGAAGAATTAACTTTTGGCCATTCTGGCAGCCATTTCTAGTCTGAAGTTATTTCCTTTGAAATCTGACATGTCCTAGAGTTTCAGGATAAACAGATAAAGCTCCTGCACTTTTTATAACTGCTATTTCAGCAGAAATTTCATCTTCTCTACAACTAGTACAAGTTGAAGAGTCTAGTCTTTGCTGGTACCCGCTTATCCTAATTTAGAAACAGAGGCAGAAGTAACATCTGAAATCAGGGAGTGATGGATGTCTATGCTCTACCCTAAGAGCTCTTGTCTATTCTGATGTATATTATATATAGTATGAGTCCACTGAAGAACACTGGTTGGTACACATATGAACATTTCAAATAACTACTAAAATTTAAGGCAAAAATATTTTTAAATGACAAAAGTTTTAATTCTGGATTTAGATTTTATTTTTGCATTTGTTTCAAGGGAATTGCAATTTAAGCTTCTTCACTTTAAACCCAGAAGCAAAGTTGTGATGCTAAAAAAAGGTGAGGCTTGCTTAATTAATGCCATCACTGATTCCCAAAATTCTAGCCTTCAAGGTGTTTTCCACTTGGAACACCCACAAACCTCAGCTGGCTTGGCCAATGACCACTGATTCTGGGAGCTGAAGTCCAAAACACCTGGAAGATCAAAGGTTGGGAATAATTCCTCTGGGCCACAAATGGCTGAACTCTGGAAGGGCAGTTTACTTGTCATGTACTCAACATGGAGAATTCAAATTAATCTTCAAAATGTACCTTTTATGTGAATCATTTAGCATACCCTTTGTTTATTCAACTGCACTTCAAAAACTTCTCAAGGGCATTTGAGATAGAATGCATGATCTGTATCCATTTTGTACACAAAATCTTTGAAGGAGATGAAGTTGAAAGAGGGCAATGCTTGTGTTCTTGCCAGGCAAAAAAGCAGAAACTGTGAGGCTTACTCTATTGGATTGTTCTTTCTTTTGTGATCTTCAATGCTGCTTTCTTAATCCAACTTTATAAAGTATACCAGGAAAATTTGAAGAATTTACATTGACTACATTTTGGCTGACCCGTTTCCTGAGATTATAGCCAAATTTTTGTGTGGCAACAATTACCTGTCAGCATTAGATGCTGTCTTAGCATAAACAGTATTGCCAACACATGTTGCTTCTTAATTACTATAAATACACATATTTTATATTTAACATTGCTTTTAATTCTGTATTTAATATTGTACTTCTCTTTTCTTCCTGCTGGTCATTAATACATATATTAATACATACATTAATACATACATATATACACCGTATTTTCTGACATATAAGATGACTAGGCATATAAGACAACCTGCAACTTTTCCAGTTAAAATAGTGTTTGGGATATAGTTGTTGTATAAGACTACCCCTCTTCCAAAGCACACCAAATAAAAATATAAAAAACATCAGATTTGATTTCAATATGATAATTTTCTACAGGAGCGAGATCTGAGAGGCAGAGAAGGAGGTGTGGTAATAGGATACAAGGGCAGGCCAGATGGGTGAAAAAAGCATGTTTTTCTGGGCACAGCACTGCTCTATCTCTTTTTTCCATACCCCGGGCGTCCCGGACGCCTGCAGTTTGTTCCACCCTTCACTTACACCTTCCCGGTGAAGCCTCATGATTGAGATCACATTAAGTCACTTCTTTCCATGAATCCCAGTAAGAGGATTTTCTTCTACCGTACTTGTATAGCAACGGCCTTCCTCCTTTCATACGGTCGCCGCATATGGCGGGTATGCGGCCGCAGACATTTTTGAGCTTCTGCCATATGCGGTGACCGCACATTCTCCAGTCCAGCTCGGAAGTTTCAGCATCTGCCCTATAATATGACACCCGGCATATAAGATGACCCTCGACTTTTGATAAGATTTTCCTGAGTTAAAAAGTAGCCACTAATATAAATCATTTCCCAAGAGTTGTCCTTAATGCCAATCTGACTGTCAGATCAAATAAATAAATAAATAAATCCTTACTTCTGCCCTACATTGTGTGGCAGCAGTTCTCCAGGATTTCAGAAACAGATGCACCCCTTATGCTCTGAATTTCTGGTGCTGGGAACTGAGCTTGAAATCTTCTGCATGGAACACGTTTACCATCGAATAAGGATTCCACACCATTTTAGAACAATAAGCATCTCAAGGCAACAACTTGCCTTTTTTAAAAAGTGCATCTACTTCCATGATGTCACCATAATATAATAGTACACTTAACCTTATTGTTGTGGCCCTACAGATGTTTTTATTTATTTATCATGTCCAGATGTTGATGAACTACCATTCCCATCAATCCACACAACCTCAAGAAGTCAGGGGTGATAGGCCTTGTACAAAAGGTAATATAAAATAATTCTGCCCATAGGCTTGGCTTACCTTTTTCTCCTCTCCTCTTCTCCTGCCAGGTAGCTCTGCATTTCCACATCAACCTTCTGTTGGACAAGACGGTGGAGGCGTTTGCGTTCATCCACTTCCTCCATTTCATTGACCTGTTGGCCAATCTGATGGGCCTTGACATGCATTTCAGCTTCATGGCGTAACCTTTCTTGTTCCCTCCAGACAATAAGTTGCTTTCCAACAACATTTGGCTTGGGAAATTTGGCCCGCTGTAACAGGAGGATGCATGACTTTGGTTACAGGAAACAGATTTCAATTTTGTACCAGGTATGATTTCCTAGAAAAAGTAGAGCTTATACAATATAGTAAAGGAAGGAGAATGGGAATGTATGGCCACTGATTGGGATCCCTTTTGTTGATAAACTCTCGCAAAATTGTGGGGGTTATGTAGCCATCCAGAAATTGTTGAACTGCTACTCCCAGAGGCACTCACTAACACAAACAAGGGTGAGAGGTTGTGCAAGTTGTTGTTTAGCAATATCTGGAGGACTGCATGATTTCCAACACTGGCCTATTTCTAATCATTTGTCTGATCAAGAGATTCATTGAATTCATGGAAATTTGGGTTATGTGAGTTCTGCTATTTCAATTAATGTAGTTTATTTAGGGTCAACCACAAACAATTTCACATATTTTGGCAGTCAAACTATTATATTGTCCATAAAACAGACTTAAAAACTTATTATGAAGCCACTTGAATGAATGCAAATTTACTTAATCTAGAAGGGCACTGACTAAGATTTGGGTGGCACACATACCTATGGTATGAAGGAGAGATTAAATAAGTCTTTTAACAAACATATAATTAGTGGAAGCTCATAGATGTCTGGAACAGGTACAAGTTACGCATGGAACCAAAAATACCTCTGTGATTTTCATAGAATCACAAGAGTTGGAAGAGACCTTGTAGGCCATCCAGTCCTCCTGCCAAGAAGCAGGAAAATCACATTCAAAGCACCCCTGACAGATAGACACACAGCCTCTGCTTAAAAGCCTCCAAAGAAGGAGCCTCCACCACACTCCGGGAGAGAGAGTTCCACTGCTGAACAACTCTCACAGTTAGGAAGTTCTTCCTCATGTTCAGGTGGAATCTTCTTTCCTGTAGTTTGAAGCCATTGTTCCTCATCCTAGTCTCCAGGGCAGGAGAAAACAAGCTTTGCTCCCTCCTCCCTATGACATGGCTATCATATCTCCTCTCAGCCTTCTCTTCTTCAGGCTAAACATGCCCAGCTCATTAAGTCGCTCCTCATAGGGCTTGTTCTCCAGACCCTTGATCATTTTACCCTCCTCTGGACACATCCAGCTTGTCAACATCTCCCTGCAATTGTCAGTGCCCATAATTGGATACAGTGTGATTCCAGGTGTGGTCTGACCAAGGCAGAATTGAGAGGTAGCATGACTTCCCTGGATCTAGTTACTATACTCCTATTGATGCAGGCCAAACTCCCATTGGCTCTTTTTGCTGCAGCATGACATTGTTGGCTCATATTCACCTTCCTGTCCACGAGGACTCCAAGATCTTTTTCACATGTATTGTTGCATGTGTCCCTGTTGAACTTCATTTTGTTAGTTTTGGCTAATCATCTCTTTGATCTGGTCAGATCATTTTGAATTCTGCTCCTGTCTTCTGGAGTATTGGTTAGGCCTCCCAATATGGTGTACATGTTTTTAATGTGAATTTGGGGTGTATTGTAATTTTAAAATTATATATGTGAGTGTGAGTGTGTGTGTGTGTGTATAAAATGTGAATTTGGGGTGTATTGTAATTTTAAAGTTATATGTGTGTGTGTGTATATATATATATAATGTGAATTTGGGGTGTATTGTAATTTTAAAATTATATATGTGAGTGTGTGTATGTGTGTGTGTATATATATATAATGTGAATTTGGGGTGTATTGTAATTTTAAAGTTATATATGTGTGTGTGTGTGTGTGTATATATATATATATATAATGTGAATTTTGGATGTATTGTAATTTTAAAATTATATATGTGAGTGTGTGTGTGTATTTATTTAATGTGAATTTGGGATGTATTTTAATATATATATATATATATATATATATATAAAAATACATCCCATATATATATATATATATATAAAAATTACAATACACCCCAAATTCACATTAAATGCACACACACACACACCTCCCAACCTGCTCCAGGCAGGAAGCATCCAGGCTTTGAAACTACAAGGCTATTTAATGCTAACCAAGCTGGCCAATGGCAACATTTACACTTGCCTCAAACAGACAAAGAGTTCTTTCTCCCACTGGATTCCACAGATATAAACCCCACTTGCTAGTTTCCAACAGACCTCACAACCTCTGAGGATGCCTGCCATAGATGTGGGCGAAACGTCAGGAGAGAATGCTTCTGGAACATGGCCCTACATCCCAAAAAACTCAAAGCAACCCAATTCCGGCCATAAAAAAGCCTTCGACAAGTAAAATACATGCTTTGGCTTCTATATTATAATATTGTTATTATGCCCTCCGTATTCTACCCCCAGAAACTCACAATCCCGAAGCAAAACGGCTTGTGTCCCTTCACTTCCCGAACCACCCGGCTCCATTGGTTCGCCGCCATCTTGGAAGCCTCAGCCAGAACGCGTGCCCGTTGCCACAACAACGACGCAACAAGGGCACGTCAGTCAACGCGGAAGAGAAGCCCCGCCCATTGCAGCGCATGCGCTTTGAGTTGAACCAGGGAAGGCTTCAATCATCAGGAAGCCAAGACCCTTTTGAGTGGGTTTTTGAAAATAACATTATTGTAAATGATTCCTTTAAAGTTCCAAAACAGTTGTATTTAGCACAACAAAATAAAGAAGTGCGTGTATAGATATCTAAAACTTTATGATTTTAGTATTTAAAATCAATATTTTATCAGCTTATAATTTTATAATTATTATTTTTTACATTTTTCCATCATATTATTTTTACATTTTCACTTTTCATGAGCTACTTATAATACAAATCCTTTGTGATGTTCAGTCTGTTCCATTTTTAAATACATATAAAATAATATTATATTCTAATACAGATAATATTTAAATATATTAAAACATTAGATATATTAAATATTGTATTATAATATTGTATTAAATATTGTATATTATTTACAATATTTAATACAATAAATACAATAATACAATAAAATATTGTATTATAATATTGTATTAAATATTGCATATTGTTTTAATATATTAAAACATTAAATATATTAAATATTGTATTAAATATTGTATTATAATATAATAATATATTAAATATTGTATTATAATATAATAAGATCCGCGAAGGCGGATCTGGCTGGAGTGGTCCATGCCTTGGTCACCTCCAGACTGGACTACTGCAATGCGCTCTACGTGGGGCTGCCCTTGAAGACAGCTCGGAAGTTCCAACTGATCCAACGATCAGCAGCCAGGATGTTAACGGGGGCCCCTTACAGAGAGAGGTCAACCCTCCTGTTCAAGGAGCTCCACTGGCTGCCGTTTATATTCCGAGTCCAATTTAAGGTGCAGGTGCTTACCTACAAAGCCCTGAACGGTTTGGGACCAGCCTACCTGCGTGACCGCATTTCCATCTACGAACCCACACGCTCACTTCGGTCATCTGGAGAGGCCCTGCTCGTGATCCCACCTGCGTCGCAAGCGCGCTTGGTGGGAACAAGGGACAGGGCCTTTTCCTTGGTGGCCCCCAGACTCTGGAACACCCTCCCCAAAGACCTTAGACAGGCCCCCACACTGGCAGTCTTCAGAAAGAACTTGAAGACTTGGCTTTTCCGATGCGCCTTCCCAGATTAGGAAATCTCCACTACCAAGTCCCATAAGCACCTTATCAAAACCAATGACTGCTGCACATCGCACTTGCCCTTGAAGCCTCATATACACCTCCTGTCACATCAGCACTTTTAATTCTTGTACCCATTACTCTGGCCTGGCCCAGTTCTTATTGTGTTTTAGTGTATTGCTTTTGCCTGTTGTTTATTTGCTCTATCCTGTTTTTAATTGTTTGATTTGCCTAATTTGTATTGCTATGTTGTGTGTTGAGGCCCCGGCCTGTGTAAGCCGCATCGAATCCTTCGGGAGATGCTAGCGGGGTACAAATAAAGTTTAATAATAATAATAATAATAATATATATAATTAAATATATTAAGGATTTTAATACTATAATATATAGAATGTTTAAAATATAATATTAAATCATTAAATAGTATATTATAATATTATATTATATTATAATACTATAATGTATATATTTAAATATGTTAAATGTATTAAGTAATTATATTATAATACTATTATAAATATATAATAATAATAATAAACTTTATTTATACCCCGCCACCATCTCCCCAAAGGGAACTTGGGGCAGATATATATATTATATTATTATGATATTTAATATTATTGTATTATATTATTATATATAATATTAAGATATTAGATTCAGTCATATTAAATATATTAAATATTATATTACAATGCTATTGTAATATAATATTTTTACTATCTTTTTATAGAGCTTGTAAAACTTATTTATTTAGCCTTTGAATCTGGTTGATTGAAATTTTTCTTTGTTTTTAAATGTAATGTATTGCAAATGTATATTGTAAACCGCTCCAAGCCTTTGGGAAGTGGCGGTATATAAATTCGATTAATAATAAATAAAATAAATAAATTATATACATAATATTTTAGATATATTAAATTATATTAAATATTATAATATATACTACTATTTTAATTTTTAAATTCAATAATATTAAATATATTATGAAACTATTATATATTAAATAGTATATTAAATCATATGTAATATTATATATATATATATATATATATATACACACACACACACACACAATATTTTTAAATGCTCGAGAAACATTTCTCAATTATTATTTTTCTCGTCACCCCCTTCGTAGAGCGTTAATGCCATCTAGTGGGCTGCTGTAATATAAACTACTTTTGAAAACTTTTCTTTATGGGTTGTTGTAGGTTTTTTCGGGCTAGATGGCCATGGTCTAGAGGCATTCTCTCCTGACGTTTCGCCTGCATCTATGGCGAGCATCCTCAGAGACAGTGAGGTCTGTTGGAACTAGGAAAAAGGGTTTATACATCTGTGGAATGACCGGGGTGGGACAAAGGACTCTTGTCTGCTGGAGCTAGGTGTGAATGTTTCAACTGAGCACCTTGATTAGCATATAATGGCCTGACATTGCCTAGGGCAAACTTTTGTTGAGAGGTGATTAGATGTCCTTGTTTGTTTCCTCTTTATTGTTGTGCTGTTGTAATTTTAGAGTTTTTTATTAATACTGGTAGCCAGATTTTGTTTATATTTCTTAGCTGTTTTTTTCTTTATAAAAGATTATTGGGCAATCTAATGAAATATCTCTTTCCATTTCCTCACAAATCACATATTATTAAATATCTTGGAAGGAGGAAAATATACCTAAAATATAGAACATAATTAGAATATTCTTCAGAAATATCTCTTTCCCTTCCTATATTATATAAATACACACTTTATTGCATTAGTATAATATCCTGCAATGCTAAAGACTGCTCAAACTTTCGTACAGTGGCCCTTATTTCTCATGCCAGTAAGGGAATGCTCAAGATCCTGCAAGGAAGACTCCAGCAAGACATGGAGCGAGAGTTGCCAGATGTACAAGCTGGGTTTAGAAAAGGCAGAGGAACGAGAGACCAAATTGCCAATATCCGCTGGATAATGGAGAAAGGCAGGGAGTTTCAGAAAAACATCTATTTCTGTTATTGACTATTCTAAAGCCTTTGACTGTGTGGATCATAATAAATTGTGGCAAGTTCTTGATGGGATGGGCATGTCTCCTGAGGAATCTGTATAAGGACCAAGTAGCAACAGTCAGAACTGACCACGGAACAACAGACTGGTTCAAGATTGGGAAAGGCGTACGGCAGGGTTGTCTACTCTCACCCAACCTATTCAACTTGTATGCAGAACACATCATGCGATGTGCAGGGCTTGATTAATGCAAGGCTGGGGTAAAAATGGCTGGAAGAAACATTAATAACCTCAGTTATGCAGATGACACAACTTTGATGGCCGAAAGCGAGGAGGAGCTGAGGAGCCTTCTAACCAAGGTGAAAGAAGAAAGCGCAAAAGCTGGGTTGCAGCTAAACATAAAAAAAAACCAAGATTATGGCAACAAGAATGATTGACAACTGGAAAATAGAGGGAGAAAATGTGGAGGCCGTGACAGACTTTGTATTTCTAGGCGCAAAGATTACTGCAGATGCAGACTGTGGCCAGGAAATCAGGAGACGCTTACTTCTTGGGAGGAGAGCAATGTCCAGTCTCGATAAAATAGTAAAGAGTAGAGACATCAGACTGGCAACAAAGATCCGCCTAGTCAAAGCCATGGTATTCCCTGTAGTAACCTACGGATGTGAGAGCTGGACCTTAGGGAAGGCTGAGCGAAGGAAGATCGATGCTTTTGAGCTGTGGTGTTGGAGGAAAGTTCTGAGAGTGCCTTGGACTGTGAGAAGATCCAACCAGTCCATCCTCCAGGAAATAAAGCCCAACTGCTCATTGGAGGGAAGGATACTAGAGACAAAGTTGAAGTATTGTCGAAGGCTTTCATGGCCGGAATCACTGGGTTGTTGTAGTTTTTTCTGGGCTATATGGCCATGTTCTGGAGGCAATTTTTCTCCTGACGTTTTGCCTGCATCTATGGCAAGCATCCTCAGAGGTAGTCAGGTCTGTTGGAACTAGGAAAAGGGGGTCATTCCACAGATATATCCCTCCAAAAAGTGATAATCAATAAAAAATTTATAAAAAAAAATAGGAGGAGAAACGTCAGGAGACAAAATTGCCTCCAGAACATGGCCATATAGCCCGGAAAAACCTACAACAACCCAAGATGAAGTACTTTGGCCACATCACGAGAAGAAAAGAAATCTTAGAGAGGACAATGATCCTGGGGAAAATGGAAGGAAAAAGTAATTGGGATTGTGGCGCAACTGGCTGCGTGTCAGCTGCATTAAGGTCACTCTGACCAAAAGGTCATGAGTTCGAAGCCAGCCCGGGTTGGAGTGGGTTTCCAACCAATTGTGTGTAGCCTGTTGTCGACCTTTGCAACCCGAAAGACAGTTGCATCTGTCAAGTAGGAAAATTAGGTACCACCTTAAAGTGTGGGGAGGCTAAATTAAATGATTTATGAGGCCATAAAGAAGACTCCAGCAAAGCATTCCAGTGGGGAAGCATGCGGGGAATGCGGAAGTGCTTCATCAGCGCCGCAGATGGACGATGAAAGCGACAGCTCCCCTGGCGGCCAGAAAAAGTTAAATAGCCTCTGTGTATGTCTGTATATGTTTGTATGTCAAAAATTGGCATTGAATGTTTGCCATATATGTGTACACTGTAATCCGCCCTGAGTCCCCTGTGGGGTGAGAAGGGCGGAATATAAATAAATAAATAATAAATAAATAAATAATAAGAGAGGCCGACCGAGGGCGAGATGGATGGATGGCATCCTTGAAGTGACTGGGTTGACCTTGAAGGAGCTGGGGGTGGTGACGGCCGACAGGGAGCTCTGGCGTGGGCTAGTCCATGAGGTCACGAAGAGTCGGAAATGACTGAATGAATGAACAACAACAACAATAATAATAATATCCTGCCTTAAAAGTCTCATTCATTATTTGGCAGCTGCTATTAGGAAGAATGTGGTACTTCCCTTTTGTGCTTGCTCCTCTTTTAGAAGATTTACGGTAGCCCTATTAGTCACCATAAAGCAGAGGCAATAAGAGGGCAGAGTGTTGTTTTGCACTGTACATAAAAGAAAGCATGTGATGACTAGGCAGGGCAAGGAGGAGATCATGTGATCATAACTGGGAAAGCTCAGCCCAAAAGTCCCATTAGCCTGGCAGAGCTCAACGGTGAACAACACAGAGCTGCTCTGAATTGCATTGTCTACTGCTGATCACCCATAAAGTTTTCTCCACCCTGATTGACATATCAGGTTGCATAGCCATCACCATGGACTTTGGGGTGATTGCTTCCAAAACAGTGTTGCTACTGATCAGCCTCATCTTTTGGGTAAGTTTGGGGAACTTTTCCCCATTTTTATGACACTTTATTATATTGTATATCTTCTGAACTCAGGAAAAAATACTTTTTTTGAACTAAAACTCCCAGAAAATGAATCGATGCAGTTTGGCACTACTTTACGTCTCATGGCTCAATGTTAGGAACTCTGGGATTTGTAGTTTGATGACTCTTTGGCAGAGAAGGCTAAAGACCTTGTAAAACTACAACTCCCAGGATCCCATAGCATTGAGCCATAACACTTAATGTAATGTCAAACTCCATTAATTCTTTAGTCTCATGGCTCAATGTTAGGAACCCTGGGATTTGTAGTTTGATGACTCTTTGGCAGAGAAGGCCAAAGACCTTGTAAAACTACAACTCCCAGGATCCCATAGCATTGAGCCATAACACTTAATGTAATGTCAAACTGCATTAATTCTTTACGTCTCATGGCTCACTGTTAGGAACCCTGGGATTTGTAGTTTGATGACTCTTTGGCAGAGAAGGCTAAAGACCTTGTAAAACTACAACTCCCAGGAACCCATAGCATTGAGTTATAACATTTAATGTAATGTCAAACTGCATTAATTCTTTACATCTCATGGCTCAATGTTAGGAACCCTGGGATTTGTAGTTTGATGACTCTTTGGCAGAGAAAACTAAAGACCTTGTAAAACTACAACTCCCAGGATTCCATAGCATTGAGTTATAACACTTAATGTAATGTCAAACTGCATTAATTCTTTACGTCTCATGGCTCAATGTTAGGAACCCTGGGATTTATAGTTTGATGACTCTTTGGCAGAGAAGGCTAAATACCTTGTAAAACTACAACTCCCAGGATCCAATAGCATTGAGCCATAACACTTAATGTAATGTCAAACTCCATTAATTCTTTAGTGGAAGTAAAGTGGAAGCAGGGTTTTTATAATTTAATAAACCCCTATTGTTGCCAAGCATTGTTTGTCGGTTGCCATAACAGGTGGATAATTATTTGGACTAGTATAGTATAGTTCTGGACAGATATAACTCTTAGAAAAGCAATGTTGGGTTATAGAGAGAGAATTAATGAGTAAATTTACTTAGGTATTCAACCTGGGAGACTATAAACACCTAGTTGTATTTGGATGGGAAGCTGCCTGATCGTAGAACAGGTGCGTCTTGACTGTAAAATTAATGCAGTTTGACACAACTTTCACTGCCCTGGCTCAGTCCTATAGTTACACATTAGGTAATAACCCTGGAAAATGACATCATCCAGTTAGGTTTAGGAAAGGAACTCCTAATCATGTGAATTGGAACTTTTCCTGGTAAGTTTAATTACACTATGTAACGACATATGAAAGAAATGTTGTTTCTGGTTTGAAATTGTTGTTTCCTATTTACTTGCGCAGTACTTATGGGACTTTGAAAGTCATTCTAACTCCAGAAACTTGGTTTTTGTGGCTGCTACACACAGTGTTGAATTGGTTGAGATACTCATTGAAAAACTATAGCAAAATGTGCTGCAGGATATCCCTCCCACAAAAACAAAGTTTTTGCAGTTTAATAAACTTTTTTCTATGCTTTTATGAGAGCAACAATTAGGAAATTACATTTATAAGCCAGGAACAAAAATCATGTTACATAGTGTTAATGGGGAAAAAGTCTGGGCTGAAGGAACACTTGCTAAAATCCCTTTTTGCACAGCAATAGATGATACAGGTATCCTGTTTCGTACCTTAATCCTGAAAGGAAAACTACAATATTGAAACTCCCTAGGATTCTCCAGGGTTTAGGACTTTACTCAGAAATTCAAAGTTTGGCAAGTGTTGAAAATAACTAGGGACCTTTCCACACAGCCATATAACCCAGAATATCAAGGCAGATGATCTACAATATCTGCTTTGAACTGGGTTATCTGTGTCCACACTGCAAAAGAACCCACTTCAAAGCAGATAATGTGGGGTTTTATACAGCTGTGTGGAAGGGGCAGAGGAAAAAGTTATTTAAGTGCTATCTCTGGTCAGAGATTTCTTAGGCCCCTTCCATACTGTCCTTATATCCCAGGATCTGATCCCAGATTATCTGCTTTGAACTGCATTATAAGAGTTTATATTGCCAGATAATCTGGGATCAGATCCTGGGATATAAGGACAGTATGGAAGGTAGCCCCAATCTATCTGGTATGAGGGTTAATATTTTGCCTATATGTCAGGGACCACCACCCTATATATACCATAGGTTGCAATTGTATTTTTTTCTTTCCTGGTCCACTGAATGCCACTGCTGTGATTAATATCTCCCATCATTCAGAACTCATGGCCATGTGGGCTGGGACAATGGTTTCGAGGTGAAATATAGGGACAGAACTTAGACCTTAAATCTTTGCATAGGAGAAGGAATTTCAACTACTTATACAGAACATCCTATTTAGAGTCCCATTGAACATTAAGGAGTGCTGTTCCTTATTTCATCTTACAAGGGGCTAATGGGAGTTGAAATTTTCTGTTAGCTTTTCTCTATTCCAGCATTTCTCAACATGGGGGTCGGGACCCCTGAGGGGGTCACGAGGGGGGTGTCAGAGCGGTCGCTAAAGACCATCAGAAAATACAGTATTTTCTGTTGGTCATGTGGGTTCTGTGTGGGAAGTTTGGCCCAATTCTATCCTTGGTGAAGTTCAGAATGCTCTCTGATTATAAGTGAACTATAAATCCCAGCAACTACAACTCCCAAATGTCAAGGTCTATTTTCCTCAAACTCCACATTTGTTCACATTTGGGCATATTGAGTATTCATGCCAAGTTAGGTCCAGATCCATCATTGTTTGAGTCCACAGTGTTCTCTGGATGTAGGTAAACTACAACTCCAAAACTCAAGGTCAATGCCCATCAAACCCCTTTCAGTATTTTTTCTTGGTCATGGGGGTTCTGTGTGGGAAATCTGGCCCAATTCTATCGTTGATGGAGTTCAGAATGCTCTTTGATTGTAGATTAAGTATAAATCCCAGCAACTACAGCACCCAAATGACAAAATCAATCCCTTCCAACCCCACCAGTATTCAAATGTGGGTGTATGGGGTATTTGTGCCAAATTTGGTCCAGTGAATGAAAATACATTCTGCATATCAGATAGTTACATTACAATTACAGTTATGAAGTAGCAACGAAAATAATTTTATGGTTGGGGGTCACCACAACATGAGGAATTGTATTAAGGGGTCATGACATTAGGAAAGTTGAGAACCACTGCTCTATTCCTCTATTCAAGGAACTCATCCCTACATGTCTTTTTTGGGACAAGGATTTAGGACAGGAATGGGAATTGTGCATCCCTCTGGATGTTGTTTGACTCAAGCTCCCAGCAGCCTTTGGTAGTGTGACCATTTGTAGGAAATGCTGGGAGATGTAGTCCAAATGGAGCTGAAGGACCGAAGCATTCCAACTCTGCTTTCCAAACAAAATATACAATCTTGCAGTTCTGTGTGTATTTGTGTGATTGCAAGCCGTAAAGGAAGCACATGTGAGGTGACCTTGATTGTGCAGATGTGCTCTAAGCAAAATCAGAAAAGGAAGCAAAACTATGCACTCGCTGCACCCACTTCTCTTTTTCACAGTTTTTTAAAGCAAGGCAGTTGTGGGGAAAAAACAACATTGCCAGTGCAGAAAACCACATCTATGCTAGCAGCTTCTCAGGGGACTTGGAAAATGAAAGTAGCTGAACTCACCTGCAAATGTAGAGGAAACTACGTGTCTGATAGACTTCTATTTACCACTTGGCTAAAGTAACACCCCCAATTTGGTGCCATCAATGTTATTGTGTCGGGCATATTGGCTTTAAAGCTTTTCTCCACTCATTACTGAAGGCTCCCTTAATTCTACACTGTAGATTTAATGCATTGACATCTCCTGGCCGTGGGATGAGGACCGAGCATGCTCAGTGGCCTTGGAATGCTGATAAATCTATGGGAGGGAATGGGAAACTGCCAGAGCAGGAATGGGACCCCTTGAAATTGGGTATGGCTGCTTACTGGTTGGTTGGGTGGGTACATCTCAACATTGCAACAGATCTACAGATCTACAGAGACACTCGCTGGAACACCACAGCAAGCGAGAGTCCAAAAGTGGCAGGCTCAAACTGAGAACCTCAACCAATGGCTGATACCAAATGAGAGACTCCCCCCTGGGCACACAGAGGACTGGGCGACTTGGAAGGCGCTGAACAGACTGCGCTCTGGCACCACGAGATGCAGAGCCAACCTTCAGAAATGGGGCTACAAAGTGGAATCCTCGAAATGCGAGTGTGGAGAAGAGCAAACCACTGACCACCTGCTGCAATGCAACCTGAGCCCTGCCACATGCACAATGGAGGACCTCCTTGCAGCAACACCAGAAGCACTCCAAGTGGCCAGATACTGGTCAAAGGACATTTAATCAACTACCAAACTCACAAATTTTGTATTTTGTCTTGTTTGCTTTGTTCTGTTAGAAATGTAATATAATTTGACTGGTTGTCCTGACACGACAAATAAATAACATTGCAACATTTTGTTGCACCAACCTATCTGTGTCATGCATCATAGATATGCACATTTCTGTTTATATGCTATACATTAGCCTTGCTTTGGTTTGGTTCTTTCCAGAATAGCCAATGTTCAAGAAGGCTGGGAACTGTAGACTAAAAAATGTGGACAGTATGGGATTGATGAAGGCTGCAATGTGTATTACAGAGGATTTTAATTATTAGTAGAAAAAACATGATGCAAATGAAGCAATCAATACAGTCTAATGCCTTTGTCTGTTGAACCCCGCATGGGCATCTGAAATCATGCATAACACTATGTAACACGATTTTAGTGCCTGGATTATAAATGTCATTTCCTAATTGGTTCTATCATAAACTTGGAAGAAGTTTATTAAACTGCAAAAACTTTGTTTTTGAGGGACATCCTGCAGCACATTTGGCTATAGTTTTTCAATGACTATCTCATAAAAGTCTCAACCAATGGCAGCCACAAAAATGAAGTTTCT